TATATATATATATATATATATATATATATGATATATACATACATACATACACACACACACACACACAAATTATCGCGTTAATTGCGATTAATTAATTACAGTCATATTTAGCGTGTTATGTTTTTTAATCGCGTTAATCTCATTTTTAATCTCTAACTTTACTGTTTCTGTATGTGAGTTGCTTTATTATAAAATCTGTTTTTATGCGTTGCTGGGACAACAACACACACACAAAAACACATTTATACATTTTTTTATTTCGGTAATTCCACTCATTGCAGGAAAGCCACACAAAACGCGCGCAGTAAGAGCGATGTAAACATTACGGTAACGTTTGCGGCGTCAGTCACAATGGACGAGGTCAAAGAGCCAGTAGAACAGAGGCAGCAGTGCACAGATAAAAACACATTTGTGTCTTGGAAATTGTTCTCCCGACGTAAAATATAAAAGAAAATAACAAATATAATATTGCCTGAAAACAACCTGCATAGGCTCATGATGTCTGCACTACTGTCCTATAGTGACCTGCCACATGAGGGGACACGCACACAAACACACACACAAACACACACACACACCTTCATCATCGTCATTAACCTGAGAACGCACGGACCACGTCTCCTTCCGTAGTTACTGCGTGGACACCGCTGTCCTCCCGTGAGCCGCGTGTGGATCGTGTTTTCTCGCGTACGTGGCGTAAACCGCGCTTCCTCCTGTGCGCCTCTAAATCTGAACTAACACCAAGACTAAAACCAGGACTAATCCAGTCCAGGACTAAACCAGGTCTAAACCAGGACTAAACCAGAACTAAAACCAGAACTAAAACCAGGTCTAAACCAGGTCTAAACCAGGTCTAAACCAGAACTAATCCAGAACTAAAACCAGAACTAAAACCAGAAATAAAACCAGGTCTAAACCAGGACTAAACCAGGACTAAACCAGGTCTAAACCAGAACTAAAACCAGAACTAAAACCAGGTCTAAACCAGGACTAAACCAGGTCTAAACCAGGACTAAACCAGAACTAAAACCAGAACTAAAACCAGGTCTAAACCAGGAATAAACCAGGACTAAACCAGAACTAAAACCAGAACTAAAACCAGAACTAAAACCAGGACTAAACCAGGACTAAACCAGGTCTAAACCAGGACTAAACCAGAACTAAAACCAGAACTAAAACCAGGTCTAAACCAGGACTAAACCAGAACTAACACCAGGACTAAAACCAGGATTAATCCATTCCAGGACTAAACTAAGACTAAAGTAGGACTAAAGCAGGTCTAAACCAGGACTAAAACAAGGACTAAAACCAGTGATCTCATATATAAAGCATTTCTCTATCAATAATATTTTTAATATGGTTAAGGAAAGACTGGACTTTTTATTGTCTTTAAGTAGACAAAAGTTATTATGTTCAGATTTCCTCGTCTTTGCTACTTTACAACAAACAGTTTCTTATTCATGGAGACTTGGGCTCAACAGACAATTTGGAGAGATTTGTTAAACAATAAATGACTTTATAAAGTCACTTTTTTAAATCTATATCAGTCTTTTGATCTTCCACAATAATGTAATAATGAATTTAAATGAAAATACCGCAAATTGAAGCTTTTCTCAGCAATTTTTAGATGAGATTAAAATGAGATTAATTAGATGAATTAATTACAGATCATAATTAATTAATCTCTCAATTTTTTTAATCGCATGACAGCACTAATATATATATATATATATATATATATATATATATATATATATATATATATATATATATATATATATATATATATATATACACGCATATATACACATAGAGTATTAGCCCCATTAGCAGCTCATTACATACGTCATGACCAAATAGCAGCGACTGGTAAAATAACAAAAGTACACACCTACAGTCGAGCGAACAAATTCTAATGCTGCGAGGTCAGACTGTTTCCATGAAGTAAAACTGGCCAATGACTCAGGCTGCAGCTCCTTTAATCTGTGAAAAAAATTATAAAATCAGGTTTTGAACTGCTTAGCTAGTCCTGCCGAGGGATGTAACGATGTCTGAATCTCTCAGTACCATATTTTCACGATATGCATTTGACAGTACGATATTTATTGTCATATTTTGTGGAGGCTAACCAATTTGTAAATAGGCTACTTTTTCTTTTTAAAATGTATTCACAAAACTTTGGTTCTGTCATAATAACCCAAAGAACTAAGATTTAAAATTGCCTAATAACAGTTATTTCTTCATCGTCTGCACTGAAACAGAGCAAAGGATCATGGTCTATGCAGTTCCATCTGTGTTTTACCTCATGCAGCGCCATAAAAATGAATTTACGCAAACAGACTAGTAATTTGATATATTGTGATGGCCCGTAATATTATTGTAAAATTTTTGATGATACAATGTCACAATATTTTGGTTACTCTTCTTACGTACTGTCATGCTTATTTTGCAACTTTATTTATTTTTAATTTATTTGGATAGAATATTTTTCAATAAAGGCACACTGACATTGACTGTAATATGTTTTATTGATAGAACACATCAGATTACTCACTATTACTTGGTTTATTATATATTTTTTGTTTGTTTACTAAAAGTTGCTATGGGTCACTCACTTACATCCTTGTCAAGACTGTCTCAAGTCATCCACAGCTATTATCACACTATTCCATCAACCACGGAAAGGTCAAGCTGGGTAAATATTGTCCAAAGTACTGCTCCCCTTGTGAATGTTGTGGGGTTTATAAGGTGATCCTGTGTTTGGGATGTGCTTTGTCAGATGAGCTGGCGGGGAGCGAGAAGCCTTATTATGCTCCGCGGAGTGTGAAATCTTAGTAGTAAGTTGGCTGTGTTGTGGGCTTCAGAACTGTGCCTGTCAGTGCATTCCCGGCAGCACATATCCAGGTGTTTGCCAGCCAGTGGGACGGAAAGGCAGCCCCGGGACCACCTGTTCACGGCAATTAGGATTCACACATGCCACAACAGTGCTGGCTGCCGCGGAGTGAGGAGCCACCGCATGCCTAATTAATGGCACTTATTCCATTTGGCAAGTAGTAAGTGAAAACATGGTGCAATAAGCAATAGTAAGTGATAAGACAGGTTTGATTGCGATGCTGTTTGCTCTGGAAAGGTTCCCTATCCACTCTACTGACCTGCCTTTTCCTACTGTACAACAATTCACCCTTATATAACAGATAATACTTATATAACAGATAATACTCCCTACAACTGTACAACAACTCACCCTTATGTAACAGATAACAGATATGTCCTGTCAGTCTTCATATCAGTTTTGCACAATTTTTCCTTATGATCTCTTGTATATAGCTAAGATTTTTGCTACTTTACTGTTATTATATTGTGATGTGTGAACTACTGTGTCCAAGTAATTTCCCCTGCTGATCAATAAAGTTTGTCTAAGTCTAATTCGAAGCACATGCCCAAGTAAGAGGAGACTTTCAATCAGACGTTTTCAATTAAATCCGTGCTTGGATGTCTACTGTGTCTATAGCTAAATGTTGGTGTTAAAAATGTTTAAAGGTGCACTAAGTTTCTTTCCTGAACCTGATTGAGCTCAATGGAGATGTTGTTGTAAATGTTTCACAGTATGGCATTAACGTTATCTATCACCATAGAGACACCACAAGGGCAAGGTCCAGGTTTTAGGTCATGTTTTAAGTGTATTTTTAGTGATTAAAACACACAATGCCATACTGTGTAACATTTCAGCCAAAGCAATAACATCTCCAAAAAGTGTTGGGTGCACCTTTCAATGTTTTACAGTAAAAAAGTTTAAGTTCAACATTTTCCAAAAACGGTATTTTCTGATATTTTTGTTAATTGGCATAATAGAACAGGATCAAACTGCCCCAGGGCAGCTGTGGCTACAATAGTAGCTTACCACCACTGACTGTGGAGTGACTGAATAATGAACTGTAAAGCGCTTTGGGTATCTTGAAAGGCGCTATATAAATGCAATCAATCAATCAATCAATCAATCAATCAATCAATCAATCAATCAATCAATCAAACAGTGAAGGCATTATAGGCTACTATGCGTAAAAGTTAAAGTAAGTTAAAGTATGCTACTATGCGTAAAGGTTTAAAGTTAAAGTAAAAACAAACGAGTTAAGTTTGTACCACGCTAACATGTTGAAATTGTCTCTACTAAAACCGTTTTGTGGAAATAATTCTCAAATAATCCTAGATCTGTACAGCACAAGCCCAAACCGAAATGCACAAGCGGCGCATGAACGCAGCACAACTCTTGTTTCTGCCAAAGCGGAGGCTCGGGCTCGTCTCTTTTATCTCCTCGTGGTAGAGTGATGCTGCGCTCTGATTGGCTGCTGGGCCCGGTGTCTTTGGGCTCCATCTCACAGGCCGAGCCTCAGAGTGCCTGGCTGAATGCTCAGTCAGCACTTCTCCCCGGTGATCCCCTCCACGCCACGCTACCTGCAGCTTTACGCACACCGCACGCACACAGTTACCGATGCGTGAATGTTGTATTTTGCCCCGTGACCTGCTGCACGTTTCACCTGGACGACCTCACTGGGAACTACAACTCAACAATGCGTGCAAGTTGCGTGCTCCGATTCCACAGGTCATTACCGCTGGCGCGCTCTCTGAGGAGGTAACGGAGGTGTAAAGCGTCTATGCGTGCACCATGGATTGTCTGTTTCTTCTGACATGGACTTTACCCATCCCGCTTCTTGGATGTGCCTCCGTCAGGCTCCTGCCCACACTGCTCTGCTGGAACATTATCAAGGCAGGTGCAAACTTCTGCACATGCATTTACAGCTACCAAAACAAGCTATCGCACTTTGATATTATTTTTTTTAAGTACATGCTACCTCCTGTTCCAACGCATGTAGTTGGAGGATATATGTTTCCGTCATAAAGCCCGTTTATCACCCTAACCACTGTTGCACTGTTGCACCAACCTGTTGCTACCTGTCTCTTTATGTTTTTTTTTTTTCTTTTCTTTTTTTTTTTTTTTGCAGACGTTGCACGTTTACTGTTCCCACACCGGAGCGGCCAGCGACAGCCAAGGATTAAATCACGGTGAGTGCTCCCTGCCTTTTGATATGGGCTGATGTGTCTTCCAGCTGGCACCACTCAGGCATAAGCTTAAAACGTGATCCTTGGGATTGCTACGCAAAGTTATTGTACCAGTGTTACTTGTAGACGAGAATGAATGGTCTCCGCTGCAAGGTATTCATTGTGTACAAACTTGATATTATAGTCACAAGACTTCAGCTGGTTGTCTATAAATAAGTGTATGATATATATAAATTGTCTGACCACTGTATTATTTCTTGTCTGTGAAAATGATTTAAGTTTCTTACATTTTATTTGACTTGGTAAAATTAAGACATCATGTCTTTACGACCTCGGGCTGACTCGTATCTAATATGCATGGAAATATGATGTTAGTGTTATTGCTTCTGTCAAAAGCCATCTGTGATCCATATGATCTCAGCGCTGTGAGCAGCTGCTGCATGGTGTATTAATGCTAAAGAGCCTTTGGAAACAAAGAATGCCTGTAGAAAGACGCTGTAATAATGCTGTCATAAGCAAATGCACAATGTGCTTTTTTGGAGAGACGGGCTAAAAAGTGACCCAGTAGTTGTTCCTGGTCAGCTGCATGCTGGCCAATTTCTGTCATGCTAATCCAGTTCCAAAAAGTTTGGATAAAAGCGCGTAAAATTGTCAGTATTTTTTATTTTTGTCAATCATTCGACAATAATTCAACATGCATTTTTCAAATACCCCCCCACCCTCCTCAAACCTCTGTTGTCCTCTGCATTTGACCCATCCTTGAATACTTCTGGGACAACTTCTCAGGAGCAGTGAGCGGCACAGTGCACCATCTCCAGATCTTGAGCTAGGATTAGTCAGGACTACTTTGACTGGAGGACTTTTTTATAAGTGAGATGAGTGTGCTTGAACCTTTGCACTGGCTGCGCATGTAACACAATTAAATTATCTTTTGTAATCTGTTTGTTGTCCTCAGACTATGTGTTCGTGAGCCCCGTGGAGGTGGACTCTGAAGGCTTATACCTGAGCCATGACCTGAGCAGACACAGCCACCGCAGCAGAAGGTCCCTCTCCTCCCTCAGCCCCCCCTCCTCTCTGCACTACCACCTGTCCGCCTTTGGTCGGGACATGCAGCTGGACCTGCGGCCCTCGTCTGTGGTGGGCCCAGGCTTCACTGTACAGACTCTGAGCGCTGACGGCGTCTCCACGGTGAAGGGGGATCCTGCATATCACAACTGTCTCTATCAGGGAATAGTCCACAATGTGTCATCTTCATCTGCTGCTATTTCCACATGTGCAGGCCTGGTAAGTGTATTCCGTTCTGCTGACAGTTCCACATCTCTTGAGTCTGTGCTGGGGTGGAAAATAAATCAAAATCCATTTACTTTTTTTAAATGAAATATTTATAGCACTAATAATAGAAGCAGTTAATGTCATGTACCTGAACTATAAATTTAATGGTGATAATAATGAAACTGTAGAAATTGAAAAGTAGTAATACACATTTTAGCTATGGCCACATTCGTATTGCATATTTGTACATTAAGGAATCACCCACTTCATACAACAGTGCATTTAGAGACTTGAAGTAAAGTGTCTTGCTCAAGGACAAAATGGCATGCATTGACAAAAGAACTGAACTGCCAACATCTTTACAAACTTAGCTAGATGTGGTATGTATTGGTAGTAAGAATGAGCATTTGATTTGTGTAGAGAGCTTTTTGAACCAAAGATGCTTTACTTTGCATTTAGTCAGTGCACACCTGGTGATGCTAATCTCCTGCTGAAGCACCTCCTGCCTTGGGGTTCACTGACAAAAACAAGCCAATATGTACCATTGGCTTCTTTGACCAAACCACCATCGATCACTCACATATACACCCCTTTCATACTTAGATGAGTGAAGTGTCTTGCCTTAGGACACAAGAACAGTATGTATTTGGTTGGAGTTGGGATCAAGCCACTGTGGTTATAAGTATATTTTGAGCTATAGTATAGTAGTGGCAACTTTTATTGTTTTTTTGTAGTAGTGTCATTGTAATCCCTCATTTGCCCAGGTAGGGTCCATAGCAGTAGCCTGATTCATCAGTCGGTTTCATTTCATAGAAACCATTAGGATTCATTCGCTCGACGGTAGGCAGGTACTTTTTTAATTTAACCAGTCGCTGCTATTTGGTCGTGACGTATGTAATGTGCCGCTAAAGGGACTAAATGGCATATTAAGCTTTTCCCAAATCCCATAGGAAGAAGGGCAATATCGTCTTTCTCCTTGATAAAATTCACCAAATATTCTCTTTATTCCATCTTTAAATCCTCAATCTCGGGAATCGTTGACAATACAGAATGTATGGTTCTTCGCTGATTGGCTGGTGCCCGAACTCGCACTTCCGGGGTTTTTGCGAATTGCCTAGTGTATTCCGATTCCTGACCTAGTCGCTGGAGATAAATGAAATTGAGCGGAGGCACTAGATGGCGGCAGTCTTGCTACCATAGCAGTGTTTTAAGAGAGAATCAGTTTCACTCAAAAACTGTCCAGGTGACAATCTTACTTGGCTTTTTGTTTGTTGTAGTATTAATTCTTTGTACTTCAACTCAGCATTCAGTATTTTTACTTATATAGAGCACTGACCCAACCTCATACATTCAAACCTCATGCAACCCTAAATGTATTGCCTCATCTCTACAGAAACTTTTGCAAATCGCTGTTCCCTTGGGCTAATGGAACCCATCCAAGGCTTTTTAAACGAAGATGATAGTTTTCAGACAATTTGGAAACACAAACATTCACCTCATCCGCCCTGGCCACTCAAAGCACCAACCTTTAGTCAAGCCTGTATTTTTCTATTCACACTTTCCCTCTGTAACATTTAGGGCTATTTCGCTATGACATCACCACCCGGGAGAGTCAGCATCACCTTCTCGCATTGTGTAGAGTGCTGCTTTGAACACAGGGAGGAGTGGACGAGATAATAGAGTAGGGCCACTTGAACAGGAGAAGAAGAAAGGTTACACCACTGTCATTGCTGACCAGGAAGAAAGACCATCATTAAGTTTATTTGAAGAGCCGGTTTATGGGACAAGTGCTCTGAATTTACATGGGGCACTGGGGGGTGAATTGGCTGAAGTAGTAATTGTGCAGATGTTTCGTAGTGCTTTCTGTAGTATCATTAAGGACAACAGGGAGACATGCTGATTGGCTAGTAATTGTCTTTGGCACCATTGAATTTGAATTTGAATGAAAGTTAGTCACAGTCTTTGAGGATTTTTCAACAGTTTATCTTGCTAGTATTATGTGTTAAAAGGTATGCTGTTCTTGTTGGCAGCAAAATCACCTAGTAAGAATCCTGTTAATTATGGCTCACTCCGGTAATGGTTGTTTCAATGGGATGTTGTCACTGTTGATTTATGAGCTACAAAGTGCAAGTAAGAGTGAGGAAGGGTGCACTTTTTCTTCTGTGGACTTTGGTTTGATCCTGTTCTCGTCCTGGTCCCAGTCCTTTGTCATATTCAAGTCCAGGTTTACTGTAGTTCAAGTTCTGTCTCAGAGTCAATAAGGTCAGTATTGGCATAAACCAGTTCTTGTCATGGAGTTGTAAAGGATTTCTGAATAGGAGTTCTAATGTGGATTCACTTTCACACAAAATAAATTTTTTTTTTACTGCTGGTCGCATTTAAAGGGTCCATATTTTCTGATCTATGTTTTGTTTCATCCACACGTTCAACACACAAATCCTTCATATTTGGGGTGAGTTCGTCTCTCAAACTGAAAACACTCTATTCCACCTTGTGATGTCATGTGGTAATACAGGAAGTGCTTCACTGTGTTTTTAAACTTCATATACCTTCACTAGAATCATTTGGATGATTTCAGCCCTGGAATTGCCCATCTCTAATTAACTAAAGGTAAAAGGTAGCTGTTAACATGAAAAGTACCACTACATCACAAGGTGGAACTGAGATAGAACTGATTTTGAGATTTACACATACTAATAAAGAGTTACTCAAACATGTGAACAAAACAAAACGCAACTCCAGGTCTGTTTTTGATGAGGTTACAACATTATAACATGACTTAAAAACTCACAAGAGTCAGTTTTGTATAATATTGGATCTTTGCCTTATTCATTCATATATTATTTATAAGCTTTTTTTCTCAACTTTCAGAGACCAGATTAGAATTTTTCTGTCATTGTAAAGTTAACAACAACTAGCATGCTAATGAGCACTTCTTGATTATTTCACAATAAAATGCTTCATAATGCTTCACTGTGTAACTTCTGGTGGAGGGTCCATCAATTTTCTACATGTTAAGTATGGTGTTAAACCTCACTATCATCATGGAGACCAGGCCATGTTACGGGTCAGATCTGTGGAAAGGCAAACTCGCTAGAATCCCGTTTTTTCTAAGTATTTTTGAGCTATAAAATTACCTGTAATTAAACAAAAATATGAGGTAAAAGTAGAGCTGCTTAATGTCATACTGTAGAACATTCTAGGCAGAGCAATGACATGTCCAGAAAACAAGAACCCTAACCAAAAAGTTACATAGTGCACCTTTACTTTGGCCCTGTCCACACTAGTATGTATTCGAATCGTTTTCGTTGTGGATGCAATGTTCGTCCACACTAATCCGATTGAAAACAGCTCCAGCTCCCACGAATTCATCTGAGTACTGCTCTGATCCGGCACTGTGTGGACACCTGAAAATGCTGATACGCTGATACACTGATGTAGGTCTATGCACCACGAAGTAGCTAATTCACCCCCAAAAGGCTAGCATATATTCATATATACAGTCTATGCGTATGACCTGCAGACGTATAATCTCTGAAAAGTTTCACATGAACCATCTCCAACGCGATAGAAGCACAACACTGCTCTGTCACAGAAAGAACACATATATTCCACTGAGTCATGTCCTTTAATCCGACAGAAGCTGAACCGCATCAGTGTACAATAGCGAGCTGTTTTGAGCGCTCAGTTTATGCAAATTAACCATGTGGTTTTAAGTTTAGTTTCTGTAAAATGTAAACACATATGCTCAAAGCTGTGTGGATAAGGAAGGATTGCAGACACAGAAACGACGTGTGTGGATGCAGATCGTTTCCGATACGGTGATGTGCGGATTCGTTTCAGTGTAAACGGATCTTTGAGTGCTTCCAAAATTTGCCCATCTGATAAACAACCCAAACCCAGCCAAAGATAACATCCTTGGTAGAGAGGTATAGGAGTCCAATGCGTTCTCAAGCTGGCTATCACGCAGATTTACCACCACCCCAACGCTCCCCTTATTGATTTATGTATTGATATTCTGTTGTGTTGCTAGGCTGCAAACTTCACTTTATTTGTCTCTGTCAACATCTAAGAAATACTATTAATATTTTCCCCTTATGCATGAGTACTGTGTAATTACTAGAAGCCTTGCGGTCATTCGGTTTATGAGGTGACTAGCCTCTGTGGCCCACCAACACTCCTGCGCTCCCTGACAGCTCCCAAGCCAGTCCTAAACAGATGTACTTTCTACTTCTCTGTTAAAGACATACCTCCATTCATCATGTCTTGTCCGGACCTCCTCCTCTTCTCCTGACTGTTTTGCCCCCCCACTCCCCTCCCCTTGCCCTGCCTCTTGTTCGTAGCAATTAAAGCCATGGGTGAGGTTCGAGCACCGCTAATCTTCACATTGTCCGTTTCATTAGGCTAGCTTCCAATCACAAAGAGGCACCACCGACCCGTTCTCTTAAGAGGTCCACCCGGGCGCAGTGTGATCGGGTCATGATTGAATTTGAATGGGCCGTGCATGAAGCTTTGATCTGTTTCTGTCTCTTTTTTTTTTTGGGTTCTTTCTTTGATAAGTGCGGCTACAGGGCTCTGATTGGATAGTCCTTAATGGACTTGATGTTGCTTATTTTTATTGGCAGTAAATAAAAAGAACAATTAATTGGATTTGAATGGAGATTGAGTTTCAGTAATGTCTAATAATGTCAATGATCAATTTTGGTCTTTTATATCAAAAGGTCCACAACATTTGTCAGTGAAAGCATGTGGTTTGGAGCAGAGTTCAGACTTTGGAGGAATGTTTTTGTGTTTTTTGTGTTAAATGGCACTCATTTAAAGTTTGTCTTGTTTATTTTTAGGATACCGGTGCTTCTATTTTGTTTCCTCATCACAAATGTACCTGGAGTTGTGTTTTGTTTCATTCACATTTTAACATACAAACCCCTGAGTTATTTTCTGAAACAGAAAACATTCTGTTCCAACTTGAGATGTCATGTGGTAATACAGGAAGTGCTCCACTCCAACTCCAA